ACAGTGTGTATAGACGAGAAAGTTCCATTTGGCGGTGGGTCGGTTATGGTTTGGGCGGAAATAATTTCATAAGTACGCACAGAGTTGGTCTTCATACAGAATGGGTCCATGACAGCTCACAGGTACATTACAGAAAGTTTTTCATTTTCATGCAAAATAATGCTAGACCCCATGCAGCCAGAGTTGTAAGTGAATATCTGGATCAGGTAAGAATTAAGCGTTTTGATTGGCCAAAACTCAGTCCAGACCTGAAACCCATAGAACATGTCTGGGATGACGTATCTGAAGGCATACACCAGCTCCAAGAACTGCCCAGTAGTTAAGAGAGTTGCTATTGAAGAAGTGTGATTCTTAATTTAATTTAAAGTATGCCTCATCGACTACAAGCAGTGATTAACGCAAGAGGAGAGAATACACGTTATTAATAATCAATTTTAGTAATTAATGTTAGGTTTTACTTGTTGATTTGGTTCCAAATAACAATAAGTCTAACTTCGTATGAACTGTAAATTTTATTTTTTTCCAGAATTAATCATAAAAGCCAAAATGAGGTGTTTTGAATAAATATTCATTATTAAAGTCAGCTTAGAAAATACATTGCGAGTATTTACAATTGGAAAATAAAATCTTAAAATTGAGAATTTAAAAAATATTTCACATTTTTAATGTGAACTAAATTTTTTGCTCGCCAGTGTATTTTGTTTGTATTTTCCAGAATGTATTTAATATTAAATTTAAATATTTTGTAAGAATTTGTAAATGGTAAAAATAATAAACATCCAAATGTACAATGTAAGTCCATTTGACGTCCAATGGACATCTTGTGCTGTATGGGTATCTATCTATCTATCTAAATATAAACAAGGTCACCCAATTATTTTTAAGTTGAAAAACTCAATGTTTATGCTATTATTTCTTTATAAATAATAAGGGTGGATTTTTTTAACAATTTTCTGTATATCATACATCAACCACCACATGGTGGTTCTGAGACACCCTGTAGAGTCAATAACACGAGACGCCTCAAGCCATAACATTATTTTTAAAGATATGACGATAATTCTTGGAACAAAGTTGCACAGTTTTTTGTCATCCATTTTTTTATTACTAAGCTTTTAACTAAAAAAATAGATGGCAATAAATTGTGCAACTTTATTTCAAGAAGTATTGTCATATCTTTAAAAATAATGGAGTTATGGTTTAGGGCGTTTTTTATAATTCAGATAAGTCTATACTCCTTTGCTTTAAGAATTTTATCAAACACAGTTGACCAAAAAACCTGTCTCACTTCATACTATGCCTATGTCTATTCGCGAATAAGATATGGAATAGTATTCTGGGGGAACTCAAAAGACGTGGAGAGAGTTTTTATTCTTCAGAAAAAATGCATAAGAATTATCTTCAATCTAAAATATAGAGAATCGTGCAAAATCACGTTTAAACAAACAGGCATACTCACTGTACCATCTATATATATTTTAGAATCGGCTATGTATGTAAAAAACCACTACCAAGAATTTGAACATCTTGAAGGAACCCACATATACGATACAAGACATAAATCCAACTTAAGAAGTACACATACGAAACTCACCTGGGTTCAGAAAAATGTTGTCAACATGCTGATTAAGATTTACAACAAAATTCCCAAATATATTCGAGACCTCCCAACAAAAAAATTTGAGAACATATTGAAGAAACTACTAAAGACTGGTTCATTCTACTCACTAAACGAATACTTTGAGTCAAACTTTCCTGTGATAAACTAGACTGTGATAACTGTACTATGATGTGAAACTTCTATTTCTTGTAAATTTTATTTATACAAAAATGTAAATGGTGATATACACTTGTCCAATATTTATACAATATCTGTGTTAAATGTATTGTAATGTATGATTGCTTTTGACGTATTCTATCCTTATCATGTATTTTGTCTTTTGAATAAATAAATATCTAATCTCTAATCTAATCACCCTATAGGGTATCTATAGATATACATAGGTATAGGTTATCTGTAGATTCATTTAGAGGGTGTTTCAATCTCAAAAGTCGATAGAATAAGAAAAAAGATTATATATTTTATATAATTTTTAGGTTTTTAGTAATGAATGAAGGGCCTAATTTAATGTAATTAAAATAAATTTATTTAATCCAGAGGAGGCGCTGGGGCATCACGACTAGATATTTAAAAATAAAATTTGCGTACGCTACTGCTTTTTGATAAGTTAAATATTATTTTTGGATTAACCAATTAAAAATAAAAGTTTTTTGTATTCTGCGTTTTTTTAAGGGAAAAAGTAAAATTCGTTTATTCGTTCGGCTCTTAAAAAATGATGGTCACAAGCAGATAAACGAATTTAATTTTGTCTTCAAAATTTAGCAAGATAGACCAAAAACCAAAAAAAAACTTAATTGCCTAATCAAAATATCGTTCCCTTAATACTTCAACTGGGTAACTCAATATAAGAATTCAGTTTATGTTTTTTTATTAACCCTAGCTTTCTTTACTGCAACGTAAATGTGTCTTTGTAACAAATATATATATTTTTCAGCCACGAAAATTTTAACTCACAAGTTTTACAATCTGTATATTCAATTAGGTAGGTATGTGTTTTTCAAGTATTAAGTATTAAGGTGACTATATCATATTAAAATCATAAAAAAGCATTGCCGTGACCGTGTTTCAGCCACGCAAATTTTAAAATCTGTTTATTAAATATGTTTTTCAAGTAACCTAGTTGTAGTTTTAGAGTGCGTTCGAAATGAGAGTCTACTTTGGATATGGTATGAGGATACGTATATAATCACGTGACTTATCATATGTTTTGTGCTTAACATTATACCTGACCTCCTTGTTATTTTCGAACGCCGTGGAGCATATACCTATAGGTTTATACTCGTATATAAACTTTATGTTGTAGTGTTTCAAAACCAATTGGTTTTGCTTGTTATTTGACTGAATACATATAAATATTAAATTATTGTTTTTCAACTCTTTAGTTATATGGTTTATTCAAGTTTTTGTGCTATTTTTGTTTTATTTTTTTAGAGTTGATATTTTTTAAATAATTTATTTTAAAAATTTTTTTTTTATATTTTAAATGGATATTTATAAATTATATGAAGGTAAATTCAAAATTTGAATTTCAAATTATTGTTTGATGTACGGTACATCATGTACCCTATGCTCATGACGGGTAAAACTTAACCAAGTCTAAAGCTTGGACAACCGAGAGTGCACTCTGAGCATATAGGTACTTGCTGTTTTCGAACAGTTGACAGTTGTATGTATTTAGGTATATACCAGAGAAATCGAACGCGCAAGGTAAACTTGGAGTGTATCTAGAGTTCACTCTTGCGAGCAGTGTTGCCAACCTTTGAGAATTAAATTTCCCACAAAGAGGGTAAAAATTTCCCTTTTTTACTAAAATTTTCCCACGAATTTTAAAAATGGTAAAGTTTATTTTGGCATGGGTATTTTTTGTTTTCAGAAGAAAAATACAATATTTTGAGAAACGGTGAAATTTAAATTAAAAAAATGATAAATTTTTTTAAATCATTCATTGGATGAACTAGACATTACGAATTGCGTTTGTAAATAAAAACTAGTTTAATCCAACACTTTTTGTTTTATACAGCTCATAAAATAATACTTCACCCGCTTTTACAAAAATACTACACAGAAACTCAGGCCCACTTATTGCTACAAATCGCACGGATAATTCGGTAAATCCCCGAGTATATTTCAAATTGTAAGCAGGGTTGCCGTTTTGCCAGTAATTGAATGTGAACCAGGAATTTACCAGTAAAAAACTTGAAAGTTAGAACGAAAATTTTTATGGCGTGAATTTCTGTAAAACTGTGATTCAACTTAGATAATTTAAGTGTGATGCGGAGTATATACACTGTATTTATGTAAATACCCTGCTAAAAATAAAATTAAAAATTAACTGCATTGTATGCAAACCAAAAGTATTCTGCCAGGAATACAACGTAATTTTTTTCCAGTAATTTCCAGCAATAGATTTTAGTTAAGCCAGGAATTTAGCATTGGCCTTCCGGCAACGCTGATTGTAAGAAAAACTTGAAGCGTGCATAGAGCAGGAAAGCTATGTACGCAAGTTTGTGACGATTCACATAGAGTATGTCCGGGATGTATACTCATCATCAGTGACGTCACTATTAGGCCGCTGGTTTGTTGACTTTGGCTGTCCACAAACTTTATATGTTTAAGCTGTTATTTTTAAAAGAAAAAGTAGTACCTATTATAGGTATAATACTACTATAGTAAACATTTTTTCGGTAATTTTTTTTCATGAATGTTGATTGGACTTTTTTTTTCTAGTTGTTTTAGTTGAAAATTGATTGGACTTTACAATTTCCCACGAATACAGGATTTTATGTTAAAATTTCCCTTTTCCCTTTGGCACTTAAAATTTCCCACGAATCGGGAAATTTCCCACCAGTTGGCAACACTTTTCGGACGTGCTCTTAAGGTGACAATATCAGAGATCTGATAATATCACTCATAAAAAAGCAGTGGCGTGACCATAATTTTGTTTAATAACCTTAACACCTCGCATCTCAAAAACAAAGTTTTAAAGCATATATATTATATGTGCTTTAACTTTTATACCTACAAGTTCAAATAAAAGTTATCCTTATTTTTGCGAGATTTTTTTTTTATCAATTAAAATCTGAGACACCCTGTATATCTAGTTGCACATACTGCCCTGCTAAGCCAAACCCCCCTATGTACAATATTAAGTCATAAAGGACAAAAAATTATTTTACTTTACTCTAGTATACATTACTACCTATTATTATCTTTTGCCCTAAAGGGGTTTAGTTTAGTACTGCAGCATACATATCTGTGGTAAAACTTTATTAATTTCAAACTCTTAGGTAAATGTGTGTGTTAGTTACTTTGCATGGATTTATCCAGGACAAATAATATAGGTAAAGCATAAAAACATATTTTAGAGTTTTTTTTTTACCTGTCCTCGACTAAGACATTGTTGACCTACTAAAGCAGATTGTTGGTCACCAAGACAACCAGATAAGGGAACTCCTTGTAAAGATCCCCCTTTTATATTTCCATATAACTCAGAACTTGATTTAATTTTGGGAAGAATTGATGCTGGTATACCAAAAAAACTTATTAATTTTGAATCCCATTTTAATGTATCTATATTCATCAACATAGTTCTTGAAGCATTGGAAACATCAGTAATATGTACACCTCCCTGAGCTCCACCAGTTAAGTTCCATATTAACCAAGTATCTACAGTACCAAAAAAACAATTTCCTGCTACAATAGCTTTTTTTACTTTTGTAATATTGTCTTGTAACCATTTTAGTTTAACAGCACTAAAATATGGGGACAAAGGTAACCCACATAAGGGTTTTAAATAATTTTTATTTCTTGATCGGTTTGGAACCAAATCAAGTAATTGATCCACAGTGGAAGATGTTCGAACATCTAACCATACTATGGAATTGTAAAGGGGTTCACCTGTTGTTTTATCCCACACCAAGGTGGACTCCCTTTGATTAGTTACTCCAACTGCAACAATATCATTTACACTTCCACCTGCACTTATTAACTTGTCAATGGTTTTTTCAATGCATATATTAACAACTTTTAAAATTTCCAAGGGGTCCTGTTCTACCCACCCTTCTTGTGGATAAATTTGAGACAACTCTTGTTGATGAGATGCCACAACTTCTGCTGTACCTGCTTTAAATAAGATAAATCTGGCACTAGATGTGCCTTCATCAATTGCACCCACTAATGGAACCATTTCTGTTCTTTAGGAATTCTTACACAACTAACAAGTACCTAGGTAGTATAAACGATCATTTATACCTATATCATTACTTGACCTTTAATCATAAATATTATCTAACGGATAATCTGTTGTCTTCCTAAATAATGGTTGTTTTCGTAAATCCCAAGAAGTCTGTAGAGAAGGAGGTAAAACCATAGATTTTTATCTAGAGGTAAAACTAGCTACTTAATTTGGTAAATGATATTTAAAAACTTTAGCTACCTACCATTTATTATTTATTATTATTACGATCTGAAATCTAAATTCAACGCGATAACTGTATACGTCATTTCGGCATTACAATTCACAAAAGCTTTGAATAAAAAACCTAACTTTTTATTCAAAGCACAAAAGAATATTCTGTGAAAGGATCCTTTGATGTTCATCGCGTCAAACGCATGGGGGTGAAACCACAGAACATGGAGCCTACACAAGGAGCGGCTCCTTAGGAGCCCGAACTTAATAGGGAAAATTGACAAAACCTGTCCACTAAATTGCACAATTTAAGTCTTTTTTTTCACCACCAGCGGCGCTGTTTGTCAATGCGTCCGTATGACGTGAAAATAGTATCAAAAATACATGTGAAGTAAGCAAGTAATTTTGACAATTGATTTGCAATAATGTTTTGACGTACGAATCGTTTTGTTATTTATGGCTGTACCTGGTAGGTAGATTCTAATAAATAGGTTTTGGTTGTGAAATATAAGTGATTCTTTATAATCTGTGAAGTGATTTTACGACTCTGGAGAAGCAAAATAAATAGGTTTTGGTTGTGAAATATAAGTGATTCTTTATAATCTGTGAAGTGATTTTACGACTCTGGAGAGGCAAAATTAGATTTCCAGGTTAGAAATACACCGCTATTTAATAATTTAAATTTAATTTAAATAAAAATGTATGTATAAAATGAGTAAACAGCATATTTAATAATTTCCACCTTTATTTGTTTATATTGAACTTTTATTTAAGCCATCTACCTATAAAACTAAAAATAAATACCATATGGATTTAATATTCTGTTACTTTTACACGATTTAGCATCACACGACATTCTTTTATAGAAAAAAACACGTATTTATAAAAAACTGTACTATACTCTACATCAGAAAGTCCAACATGAATTCCAATGTTAAATTTGATATAAATTTATTGTAAATTAAGACCTTTATACACAAACCCAGGTACATGTGTACATTGTTTTCAAAAAGCAATAAACTGACAGTTGCATAACCTCAATTATTTCCACAATAATTATTGTTAATAAGTGGTCATATACTTAAGTATAAGTAAGTGGTAGGTAGTGGCGCCATCTCTGGTTATACCACTCTACTTTTTTGGACCGGTAGTACACCAGCGCCCTCTTATCTTAGGAAGATTCTTGTTTACATGAAGTTCGGGCTCCTTGTATAGGCTCCATGCCACAGAAACTCATATAGGAACAGCGTTGCCAACCCTCTGTGGAGAAAGAATCGTATCAAGTTCGTGAAATTATCGTATCGGATCGTATTCTGTTTTAATAATTATTTTAATTGTAAGTTTTGACTTCTGCCAACAATAGAAAGAATATTGATAACGGTAAACATGGAGCCTATGTGTAGGCTCCATGACGGTAAAGATCAATTTCTAAGCTTTTAAGTATTTTTTGAGTTTTTTTCATCTGTATTGCTTTCCCTTGAAGTTACAGTAAGTATATACAATAAATCAGTTGCTTTTATAATGTTTTTTTGGAGATTGACATACCTATTAAATAATTAATTTGTATGTAATTTATTACGATTAGTTTTTTTTGTAAAAACCAATACTACTTAATAATATTGGGACATTTGCTTTGATAGGCACTATTGTTGTTTGAAAGTAATTTCCAACGTACTGCAGTAGATATCATGATATCCCTGGTGGAAGAAGTTATTGGAATTTTTACTTTTGTTAAAAAATGTAATGCATTAATGGACATAAAATTTTGTTTAATAAATGTATGTATTTTTTAGGCCCAAAACCGATGCAGGAGGGAAGTTTTATACCTTCTTTCACTTCTAAAGCCATTCAAAATACAGATGCACTGTTTGTATATTCTTTAATTTATTTTATTGTTAAAATTAGTGTATTATAACCATTTACTTTTTAAAATAAATAAATCTTTGCAACTATTTTATTTTATTGGTCAAATTTAAATAAATTTATATTATAATTATTAATATATACAAAATAGATAAAGCCGGCCCTGTAGTATAAAAGTTAATAAAATCTTTGGAGTTCGGCCCTAATTGGCAGGCCACAGAACATAAGTGGCAGGCGTTTATGACGTTTGTGTTGCTGAAGTTTAACACAGTGGTCGCCCTTCTTATATTCTTTTTCTATGTCAAACGTGCCGCAGGGTTGGGTCAGTAGAAAACCTTAGGTAATTTACCTTGGTAGAAAAGGGTAGAAAACTTGTTTTCGACTTGCGTCGAAAACCTATAGGGTTTTCTACCTACGTAAATTACCTTATTCGACCTTCTCCTTCCACTTCTCTATAATTGATAAAAATTTGCCCTCATGCCAAAAATTATGTTGGGGTCTCCCAACCAAACGTGGCCCTTTTTTTCCACCATAATAATGTTAAAAAACTCCAAATAACTTCAAATTTATGGTAGGTGGCTGATTTTTCACAACATTTAACAAATCATAATAAACAACAAACTTGCATAACCTCACATTTTTTGATATTTGACAGTATTCTACTTTTTTACGTTTTCTACCGTCGAAAACGTCGAAAAAGGTTTTCTACATATCGAAAACAAAAATGTAAGTAGATACCCAACCCTGACGTGCCGTGGTCCGAAACCTAAGAGCCGTTTCACATGCGACTGATAAAGTCCTGACGATCAGTCCTGATGGTCAGTCCTGATGACTAGGGGCCATTGTTTAAATGAACTTTTTCACATGCACTGCGTATCATCGGTTGACTGATTCGTCGGCACGGGCATCGGGACAGCCCGTGCGCACTGCGTACCGTCAGAACTATTAAGGGCTGTTAGTTATATGGAGTATTTCATATGGTACGTACGGTCAGCAGAAACAGTGTTGCACAATGAGTAGTTTACGCATTGATACTGAAATTGTAATAAATAGCATCGAACAGCGAAGATGCATCTGGTATGCAGATGATGAGAACTACAAAAATAGGGATGCAAAGAACAAAGCATTTGAAGAAGTAGCGTAAATAGTAGTTCCGGATTTTGAAAATTTTGCAAAAGCAAAGAAGAACTTTTTTGCGATGTATTTTTCTCTTTATACAAAAAGCGGCAACAGCGCAGTTCCGGAGGCGCTGAGAACCGTCTCGTAGTAGACATTTCCGTACTATACGTTGCTTGTGAAACAATGGTCATGAGTCATGACCGTCAGTCCGTATCATCAGGACTGATCGTCAGGACTTTATCAGTCGCATGTGAAACGGCTCTAAGAACACGCGTGCCGTGGTGCCGAAACACGCGTCAGTCGCGGCACGCTTTTGTTTTACTTTCGGTTAATAGTTCATCCAGTTAAATGCAAATACCTAATTATTTTTGTTTTCTAAAGAAAATATACTTATGAAAAAAATAATTTCGATTTTTGTGGGTAAGTACACAATCCACCTCTCGTTTCGCGCATACTAAAAATCACTGCAACACTGCACGGCGGCCATTTTTATGTTGTTTACAATTCTTGTGCTTTGGGTTTGTGCTGTTGATACAGATCAGCGTTGCCAACCCTACGGATTTTTCCGTAGATCTAAAGCATGATTTATAGATTGCCTTCCTCCCGTAGAAGATAAACAATACAAAAACCGTTGTGCTGTTTAAAGATTCCCGTACGGTAATCTATAAATGGCACTACGACTTTCGTATTGTTCATCTTCTACGGGAGGGAGGAAGGAAGAAAGGAAGGCAATTTATAAGTCAGGCTTAAGGGTAATTAACAAATAACCGGATTTTGTCTGAGAATCTACGCATATTTGGACTTTATTGCGTAATTCATATATTTTATTTTATTTATTTAAACATGCAAGAAGTAACCCAGGCAACATTCGTGATATTCATACGAACATCATGTCGTGATTTTCACAAATTTTATTCATACTGATATCATACGGAAGTCACCGCGTGATAAATGAAAATCATACGAACGTCAAGTCGTGATTTTCACAAATTTTATTCATACGGACATCATCCGGATGTCACTGCGTGAGAAATGAAAATCATGTCGTGATTTTTTATGCCATCGCTGTTTGCGATTGACCGATGGCACAAAAAATCATGTCGTGATTTTTTATGCCAACGGTGTCTGGATAATCATTTTTGCGCCAAGTTCGTACACCAAGAGAAAAATTATGTTGAATAAACAGTTTTTGCGGTTAAATACATTTAATATTTTCTTGGATTTAAATTAACTATTGTACAGACTGTATAGAATCAAGGATGACAAATTATATTGTGATCAGAGAAAAAGAAACAAACTTTAATTGTGCGTGGTTTAAACCAAGCCATTGGTAATTACGAACCATAGTTGTCAGGTTGTTTTAAATTAGAAGAGAACGATTATAATTATTTAATAAATAGTTCAATTTTATTTGTTTGAAACTTTAAAAATAACAAAAAAATTATTAATATGTCAAAAATAATTTGATTTAGTTAATTTTCTTACTTTTAATATTAAAAATTAAGAAAAACAACCCTTTTAGGAAATAATAGCATATGGCAACAGCGCGGCTTACAGCCGGATTGTAGCTACACTGGGTAAAGGCCTATTTTGAAACATATTTTGAAATAAAGTTTGTATTTAGCGATACGATCTACCAGTGTGATGCCATACCATAATTTGGTATTTTTCCTCACGGGTAAAAACCATTTTATTTGAGAAAATACTTTTTTATTCTTACAAAGACGTACGCAAAGTCTCAGTGCACTTCTTAAGCTTAATTTTCATGTATCCGTTTGTCCGTCAGTCCGTCATCCGGGAGAGCCCTTATTGGTCCAATTTTAATTCAAAAATTATGACATTTAATATGTCCGTCAAGTTTTAACTTTGTACGTCTGACGGAGAAATTAAAATAATTTTACCTCATCCGTCACTAAGTTTATTTTGAGGTCAAAAACTGCAACAAGAAATTATTTTAGTAATGCCCTTGTTGATAGAGAATTCTCTTAAGATCTTAAGATATAAATGGGAGATTAATTAAGGGAGAATGGAGAAAATATCAGATATCAAACCTTTTGAATGTAGGAAGAGTGGCCTCAAATATGTATGGAAGAAATGCAGAGCAAACTAGAAGCAAACTATCTACATATTTTATTACTGAGGGCAGTATACCATTTCAATGGGATAAATAGATTGCACTATGTGACAAAACAGGACAGATTATTAACCAAAAATTTAACGCCTAGATTGTTAATGCCCTAAACGTTTTTATGTTTACTTAATTTCTGAACTCCCTGTTAAATTTTTTTGGATATCTTATGTATTAAACAAGAAGTTTTTATAAAAAACGATTTGTTTTGTTTAATTGGGACATTAAATCCTGTGTGTATATATTACTGATATTAGGCATCCAATTTCTGGTTATAACTTCAGTGAAATTGTTTTACTGTTCCAGTCTACAGATTACTTAATACAACAATAAATAATAATAAAAATGAATGTTTTAATCTCAAACAAAATTTTAACAATACTAAAATAAAAAAAAATTTTACTTAAAATTATGATAAATAATCTTTTGAATTCTCATATGCCACTTGTAACAATTTTATTTCCAGCCTGGTCCTAGGGCCTTGCGGCATTTGCTCTAATAATTGTGAAATCCTGTCACAAATTGGATTAATTTTAGAGTGAGGGCTTGGGTTTGTTACTTCTATTGGAGCATTTACTTTGTTTAACGCATCTAAAATAGCATGCTCAACATTTTTCCTCTCTTTGTCCTTAAGATTTTTGCCCTTACGTCCTTGTTGATTTGGCAAATCATTTGGAGAAGTAATTGGACTGGAAGTTATTGACGGGCTTTCAGTTCCAAGGGTATTTGGGGATAAAATGACGTTAGATAATGTTGCCTGATATTTTATAGTATCATTAAGGAAAGTCATATACTCAAAATACTCCCACTTTCTTTTTTTGGATGCAGCTGCCCCACTTGGAGTGTATTCCCCTTTTATACGCACGTACGTATCTCTCAAAGTTCGCCATTTTTTTGACAAGAATTCCACAGAAAAACCTGCATTTTCTCCAAATTCCCTATATATTTCCTGCCACATTTGGTCCCTAATTTCTTCTTTTTCCTTTTTTGTTAGTGTCATGTGGGCTAATTCAGATTTGTGGCCAACATGTGTTTTTACAAATTTCACATTACAAAAACCTGCAACAATTGTTACTTAAGTTACAATAATTTTCAAGATAAATTATTTGTCTTGAAAATAAAAAGTTCTGCAGTTTTTGCTTAAAATTTTAAAGGCAACAATTCTTAAATGTGAGTAATTTATTATTTATAAAAATAAATGATATAATATAATTTTTTATGAATTAAAAACCTTCCCAAATTAAAGAAATAAAATACTTGTGTCAAAATAAATTGCACAATTTTATTTACATTAAAATTAATGAAGTAACTTACCCTCAGTGTTAATTTTTAAACTAATAGAAGAAGGACAATATGCATTAATTTTTTTGGTCCCTTGTAATTTAATATGCCTTTTTCCTTGGCCTCTCGGTGCATACATTCCTGATCTACTACAAATATAACTTGTGAGTACATGGTGTTTACTAGATTTGGTGTATTGTTTTCGATATTGTGTGCTGAATTCCACTTCAACATGGTTTTTCCATTCATTAAATTCGGCAACAGATGAAAAATTTATTTCATCAAATTCAATTGTTACATCATGAACCATTTTAAAATGATTTTTTATCATGTTGTTGGAAAAAAAAATTTTGCACAGAGCACATTTTAACATTTTTTGCCTTGATAATGTATTTGGTTCATGGGTTTTTAAGTGATATTTGTAGGATCTTAAATGGTTAAAATGATTGTTGCAATGTGGACAGTTAAATTTATATGCAACTTCTGGGTAAACTTCATTAAAAAATTCAGAGTGAAAACGTTTAATATGCACTTTTAGAGTATATTGCCTTACAAATCCCTTTTGACAAAATCTACACATGATGCCCTTCCTAAAAAATCATTTAAAAATATTAAAAAATAAACAACCTGGGCCTTCTTAAAAAAAGTTTTTTCTACAAGCGTGCGGAAAGTTCTCCGGAGTTCGGTCAGCAGTCGAGTGCGGAAAAGACACTTTCAGCACGAGTTAGGTACAATGTTTTTTCTACAAGCGTGCGGAAAGAACAAAAGTTCAACTTTCCGCTCTAGTGCGAAAAAGTGCAACTTTCCGCACGAAAAAGTGCAACTTTCCGCACGGTTATGCGGGCTTCGCGTCGTTCGTTCAACTACAGTCGCGTGCGGAAAAGTATCACTTTCCGCACTTGTTAGGTAAATAACTATTAAAAAACTAATCATATAATAGCGTTAAGCGAAATCGATCCAAATGCCAAACTAAAATTTTGACATATTGTTCTTTAAATTTAAGTACGTAGTACTTAGGTATTTAAAAAATTCACAATGATTTTTTTAAATACCTACATAATTTCTCTTAGTGTATAAGACTTTTACACAAATAATAAGGCAACAGTACAAGTCGTTTTGTATACCCAACTCAAAAATAAATTTGGCGCTTGGATCGATTTCGCTTAACGTTATCCATATTATAACAAAATTTTGTTAACAACAAACTTTTTCTTATAAATTTTTTAACGTAATAATTTTTCAATAAGGCTTAGGTAGCTTTAAACCTCAAGCTATTCAATAACTTACTCTATGACTTTATACATGTTCTCAAAGTCATTTGGATGTTTATTCTTTACATGTAATTTTAAGGAACTACTTCTGGCAAATGTCTTGTCACATAAATTACAATTGGGCATGTCTAAAATTTAAATTTATAAAAAATGTATCCAAACTTATTAAGCATTATTACCTAAAACTTTTATTAGGAACAGAATAAACCAGTCGTAACTTACTAAAAATTTAATAATCTCAAGCCCTATAACTCATGGGCTTTGTCAACAGGAAAATAAACCAGATATTGAATAATTAAAGCAAGCTGAGAAAATCTATAATTTAATTTAATTAATTAAACACACCATAATACAACTATGCATAATTACCCAAAAAATGTATGAAAAAATCCACTTGTAACTGACACACTAGTGCACTATAGTATCTAAAATCCAATAATCACACTAGAAAAGAAAAAAAAGTTCTTCTAAATAAGGAAACGAACCACTTATTATATGAAAAATAAATAAACAATAAGGTATTGTCTACTGCGCCGCCGGCGGGTTTTTGAAAATTTTATGGCTTCCCCGCCGCCGGCGTTTTTTAAATTTTATTGCCGCACCGTCGTTGTTTACTAAGGTTATGTTATACCTTTAAACAGGGTTGGGTCAGTAGAAAACCTTAGGTAATTTACCTTGGTAGAAAAGGGTAGAAAACTTGTTTTCGACTTGCGTCGAAAACCTATAGGGTTTTCTACCTACGTAAATTACCTTATTCGACCTTCTCCTTCCACTTCTCTATAATTGATAAAAATTTGCCCTCATGCCAAAAATTATGTTGGGGTCTCCCAACCAAACGTGGCCCTTTTTTTCCCACCATAATAATGTTAAAAAACTCCAAATAACTTCAAATTTATGGTAGGTGTCTGATTTTTCACAACATTTAACAAATCATAATAAACAACAAACTTGCATAACCTCACATTTTTTGATATTTGACAGTATTCTACTTTTTTACGTTTTCTACCGTCGAAAACGTCGAAAAAGGTTTTCTACATGTCGAAAACAAAAATGTAGGTAGATACCCAACCCTGCCTTTAAATAACTTTATTCAAAGTGTTATATATAATTCCACTTATATAGGTATACCTATATAAGTGGAATTATGGTTATGTTATTAGCCGTATATATGTAAAAATGGAAGATATTGTTGTTGTTTCCTTGGAGTCACATTAAATTACATCACATTTGATGTTATAATAATTATTAATAATAATATCGTTACGTAAATGTGTAAAACTGACAAGTCCATTTTTTGCAGTTCATGCATTTTTCGTACAGTGGCCGACACGGAATTTTGAACGGCTTACGTCCAGTTAATATTAAAACCTTAACTTCCTTTATGGCCAACTAACCTTACTTCCGGTTATCACTAGTCTTGTCGTTTTGACAGCGAAAGCAAAAATGGACAATATTGTTTCTTTGCTATTTACAGATTTATACATGGACAACCAAATTATAACGTTCAAAATTCTGTGTCCGACACTGTACCAAATGAAAAAATGGTTTTACACATTTAGGTGACGATATGCAACATGTTAACATTTTTAATGTTAATTTCAAAATATTAGTTGAACAGTACAAGGCAGATCGTTGACTAAGATTTTGGTATAAAAAACAATAGGTAATAGTATTACTATTACGGGATTGGCGGTTCAACGCCATTCCACATCCTAAGATGTGGATATTGGTTATTCAACAGAGTTATTTAATAGTAAAAATGTTTTTTTAAGCATTTAAACCAATATTGGATAAAAAATGTATACATGTCCTAGCATTAAGTTAACAATTGTTAATATCAATTAACATTGATTTTTGACCAGTTATTCATACAAAAAAATCAGCTTCTTTTAAAAAAATGTGCCACCCATAAAAAGCTTGAAAATATCAAAATGCGTCAGGAGAAAATAGCTATTTACATACCATAGGAGGAAAATAATGCTTTTCCTCCCGTGAATAGTTTGATGCCCGACGCGAAGCGAAGGGCATTAAATATTCAAGGGAGGAAACGCATTTTCCTCCTGAGGTATGTATATGGTTTTTTCTATTACCTTTTAACGGTTATAAAGACATTTTAAGGGTTCGGGTTATTTTTACTAACCCGGTATGGGGCTATAATATTATGACAAAATATTAAGTAGGTTTTGCGTCGCCGACGTTGTGTTGACAACGCTTTGTTGCTATGGTATTTTTGGTAAAACAAACATAACAGTTGTTATAAGCTGTCATGTTATCATAAATTTGAAATTCTTCCTAAGTTTTAAAAATGAGTTCTAGCGAAGACCTGCCGCAAGATCTTGCTGAAGAGGCAAGAGTAGTTGAAATTAATCTTCTTCCTCAAAAATCGAAAAAGCGATATGAAAAGCAATATAGTCATGTAATTGTTTTGTAACTTTGACACTGCTAAAACATTTGTTATAAGCAAAAAACTAAACTAAACAAAGAATGGTTGAACAAGCGCGGAGTAAATCTTTTTCGTACAAAATCAAATAGGGCCATTTTCCTCCCTCGCTCGGGGGTGGAAAATTAAGTTTTCCATTAAGGTAGTAGAAAAAATACTTACATATATTGCAATATACTTTTATATTTCATTAAAAAAATCTTTTACACAAGAAAATTTAATATTTAAATTTAATTATAATATATAATTATTTAAGTCAATCTTTTGGCCCTTTTAATGATAAGCATTCCTTTTAATAATAAGCTACTCAATTAATTTTTTTCCTAGCGAAAAAAGATTTTTGTCATTCCTTATTTTACTTGATAAACATTCTGGAGAAAAAAATGCTTGTTTTATCTCATCTTAAGATCAAACCCTATAGACAATATATACCCAACTTGGGTGGCTGGGGATTTTAGTCAAATCCATTGTTTCCCTAAAATTAAAAAATCATAAACCTTATAAATTTAGAAATAGGTACTAATAAAACTTACGAACTCAAAAAATTTGGTACATTCTATCCAATTGTCTTATTTTAAATATACTATTGGACCACATTTAGATATTGCCTTTAAAATTGTGTGGGAAAAAGGCTTTGCAGCAGTTTTTACTTTTTTTCAAGCAGGACCTTGGACATTTGGAAAGTTTTTTTAAATTTCATAGCCTATTGACAAATCCAATTGGATTTGTCAATAGGCTATGAAATTTAAAAAAACTTTTGCTTGTTGTATTTAAAAATTCTTCAACTATATTCTTGTTTATTTCTTTGCCATCAATCATAAATCCATCCTATGCATAATCAAGAAAATTGTTACAAACTAATTTTAACAGGTGTGGTACCTACACCAATAAATACAAAAATGATTTCATTTGTTGTGGGATTCTTGAAGGTGTTGCTTTTTAATTGAGGTTTAACTCATTTAACATTCAACAAGTTTTCTTGTACCATAAACATAACCATATAAAATACACTGATGAAATACATAACATAACCTCTGTACACTAACGGCAAGGACGGTGCTGCAATAAAATTTAAAAACGCCGGCGGCGGCGTAGCCATAAGATTTTTAAAACCACGCCGGCGGTGCGGTAGACTCTGCCAACGCAAACATACAGGTTATAATAAACAAAGTTAGTTGGGGTTAGATTCTTCTTCTTCTTCCAAACATTATGCTGCACAAGCTGGCAACACTGCAATGGTTAAATGTGCAATCTGGATGCTGCTACACAGAATCTAGTCAGCCGCGAATCCCATAAAGGGGGCCTCGCTTGAACACACGAGATTAGTAGTTCCTCAACTGTACATGTTTTGGCAGTATGTTCGGAAGGCTCTGCTTCTTCACTAGAGTTATTAAAACCAGAACTAAAAGGCCCATCTTCTTCAAAACTATACATTTTCGCCTACCTTTTAATTTATTAGACAGATAATAGTTAAAGTCACAATTGTTGACATAATTGTAACTATTAGGTAAATTTAGTAAAGTGAATATTCTGACACTTAATTTCTATTTGTCGCAAAATTAATCCGTTAAACGTCATTAAATAACGGATGCATGAAAATTAGAACATTTCTTGCCGGACGATTTTATTGAAAAACTGACATACGGATGACGGACAAACGGATACATGAAAATTAAGCTTTAGAGGCCTATTCCCTTTCTTGCTGTTCGTAAACATCGATTTCTTAACATGTATGTTCACCCAACGACAAGCCCAACATCACCTATGTTTAATGGCGGGTTTACGAGTCACTCGCGTGCGTTTGGAGGTCGCGTTTACGCGAGCTAGCCAACGCGCGCGATGGTTTTAACTCATGGTGATGTAGCCTGAATAAATTAGCTGGACTATTTGCCCTAGCAAGGGTTGGGTCATGTGGACCCTTTGCCCTTACCTTGATAGTGCAGGAGGTTTGATGGTAGTATGTTTAAAAACAAAATTCTGGAGAGGTGGGGATGTTTTTTTGGAGGGGAAAGTATGGGGTCCGCCAGCGGCCATTACTTGATCTAGCAGGGGGATGGGAACAAACTATCTATAATAAGTTAGCTGCTCCCATCGTCTGCATTGGGGGGTCTAGATAGTGTTGCCCTGAAAGAAATTGAACAAAGATTTAATTGTTGTCATGAGTGTGGGAGATCGAGACATGGATGTTAATTGACATTGAATTTATACAGCCAATGTTTGACATTGTGTACACTTGTATTAAAATATTTATTGTTACACATCTTAGTTTGTTTTTATTGATAATTCAAAAAACTAGAGGTTGTATCTTTGTAGATGTCTAGGATATTATGTATGAGTTTGTTTTAAGATTTTAGTTTTGTGTGTATTGTATTTATGTTTGAATGTTATGTTAATTTAATATTGAGTGTTTCACATGTCTCGTCTCCATCTTTTGGCATTGGCTGTTTTTGGTTTGTCTTAAGGAATAAAATGTTTTGAAAATATCAAGGGGGTCTGAAGTCCACAATCGTTCCTCTGACGCCACGGTACAAGCGTCTATGGTTTGGAGTGTAATCTAGTGCACTATGCAGTGCACTGTAATCGATTGTATCCGTTCTTTCTACCGTGGCTAATGTCATCTGCTGAATGTACGTTATTATTGGTTGTAGTCCCAGTTCCTCCCTGATTTGTACATTTCTGACAAACCATGGTGCCCTTGTGATGGTTCTAAGGTATCTATTCTGTGCAACTTCTAGCTTTTTCCTGTGTATTTTGGCTGCCGTGGACCACGCTGAGGCTGCGTACATAATTATTGGTCTCAGAATTGTTGTCCAGATTAGGCGTCTTGTTTTTAGGTTAAGGTGAGTGCTGGCATACAGTGGTCTTAGTGCTGTTTTAGCTCCTGCTAGTTTAATCAGGGTATTGTCTATATGTGTCTTCCAGGTTAATTTGTCGTCCATCACGACTCCCAAGTATTTCACCGTAGAAGACCATTGTATGTTTTGATCTTGGTATTTTAAGGGGGTAGGTAGAGATCCGCCTTTTTTAAAGAAAATTGCTTGTGTTTTATCTGGGTTTAGTTTGATCCTGTACCTATCTGCCCAGGACTTGATTTTGTCCAGTGCTTGCTGCAATTTGTTCCTTGTAAAGCTGTTGTTAGACCCCTTGTATATTAGCGCTGTGTCATCAGCATACATTGCAAGTTGCACCCCTCTTGTGCTCGGTAGATCTGCCATGTACAGGTTGAAGAGCGTTGGCCCCAGGACAGATCCCTGAGGGACACCAGCGCTAATGGTATGAGGCATGGAGGTTGCTTCTTGTATTTTCGTGGTGAATTTGCGTTCCTTTAGATATGATGCAATTAGTTTGACAAGGGGTGGGGCGATTTCCATGTTGATCAACTTGATCAACAACCCCGTGTGCCATACCT